TATTTAATGGATCGGATTACATTTTTTATTTTTCTCCGATATCCGATCCAGTAATTTAGGTCAGTATCGGACCGATACCGATACGTAATATCGGATCGGTCCATCTCTAATTGTGTGTGTATAAGGACCATAAATGGCACCTGTAAGAGACGTGGTTATGAAGCGGATTTCAAACTCCAGGCTGTCAGTCACACAGTAAAACTTGGGAACAGAGCAGCTGTGAAATCTGTCTGTCTTTGTTATTACACTCAGTGTCTTTTAGTTTACATTTTGACTGCACAATTGTGAGCTCTTTGTTTAGCACAAAAACAACATTGTTTTCTTTTATTTATGGAGCATTATTATTTAATGAATGCTCATAATTTAATTTTGAGTAATTTTTCATGTACATCTGTGCTGTATGTTAATAAAAGTGCCAGTGTGACATCTGGGACACAGCTTTGACTAAGAACTCTCTTTTTGTTCTTACTTTATGGCTTAAAAAAATATCGAGATATATATCTTATATCGCCATCCAGCTAAAAAATATCGAGATATGAATTTTGGGTCATATCGCCCAGCCCTAGGTTCATTAACATATGACGTCTACATACAAACAAAGAGTACCGTGTGTACGTGTGTTGCTGATCAAAGGGTCATATAACATAAAGGCACACAAGCAAACATCCTTGGTCAGGAAGAGGGTAGCCTCACCCTAGATAACACGGTGAGGAAGTCCTGCAGTTCATCTAAACAAAAAGCACTTAGACTAAAACAAACGTAGCTACATTAATCCTACCTTAAAACAATAAGACAAGGTACGACCTCTCTCGTGCTCCCAGAGTGCTCTCTAATACACACAAAGTTTGCAGACTATCAAGGATCAAAACCTCTACCAATCTACAACTAATTACAAAACTCTAAGCATATATAAGTAAATATTTCTAAGCATAAATGACAATCAACAATACAAAATCTAACACTCTTAGTCCAATAAAAACAGGTGAGAGGGAAACAAAGCTTCTTTGACTTTATGTCTCTTCAGGCCATGTGACTGGAAATGTCGAGTGTAATTACTGCTCAGAAATGTGACAGAAATACAGACTTCCTTAGACTCAGACCAGAGGAGTTATTTTTAGAAACAAGACCGTCCAGCCAGGCAAATATTTTATTTTCAAGTTTATCTTTAAAGAAATATTAAAGATAAACTTTGTTTTGTTTTCAGACTGCTTCAATTAAGTCTCTTTCTTTGGTTGTTTTTTTTTTAAAAGGATCCATTAGGCTTATTTGGAGGGTTAAGAGTGCACTCACAGCCTCGAAACAAGCCATTAAGCAGTTTTAGCTCCTCACCAAAAGTCATCTCTTGTCTTACTGGTTACTCTCGCACACAGAAGGAACAGCAGGTAGGTCGGGTTTCTGCGCTTACAGACAGAGCCGTGTGACTGACGTGACCAAATCGGGCATGCCTCCTCTCTCCCTTTCTCTTAATACAGACTTTCCACCGTGGAAAGAGTATAAAAATTGCAGATATGAAATCAAATCCTCAGACCACCTGTTTCCCATTTCCTGTCAATTAATATTGTAAATAAACTGACACTCATTTATTAAAAATCTGGTGTCATGACAGTTGGATTTAATGTTTTGATTACGATTGAGAGTGAATAAGCATTAGCAAACTACACACACACACTGTGTATTATATTAAGATCTGAGTACATTTATATCAGCCAGCTCCAGAGCAGGAAGCCGGGAACACTTCTCAGTACGAGTCGTCTCCCACATTAGTCAGCCTCCCGGTGATCGTACCTGTTCTTATACTGAGGCTATTTTTACACATGTCAATCACAAACTTCCGAGAATCCATTTTAAGTCTTCTCTTAAAAAACCTCATCTCGCACCCCACCCTGTCTGTGTCAACCAACAACATTTTCAAGCTGATGTTTTTGTTGGCACAATGCACACACATGCTCTTCTTTATTCACAACCTTTGCTGAAATATTTCCTTTCTGAGTTAATGACAGTTTGGTTTGCATTTGCTTGAGTCCTATCTAAACTTTACCTGATCCTGAAGATAGTCAGCCAGTAGTTGAGTGAATTAAAGAGCGCTCCCAACAACCCACCTGCACAGGACAGGAACGGAAACAAATTAATGAAATGAATAAACAGGAGCGATAGTGTAAGTTAAATAGAACAGTGGTATTGTCATCAGTGTGAGAAACATTTAGAAGTGACACCCACTGGGTGCAGGACTGATGATCGATTTGCAATATGCAACTCTCAGGAAAATAAGAAGAAAAGAAAAATATTGATCAAAGAAATTGGCAAGGTTGGATGCAAATGAGTGTGACTGATGAGTTGATGCGGAACTGGTAAAGAATTAGACGATGATTCTCATTCCTATTCAGTGTTTGGGGTCTCTGATTATGCAGTGAACTATTCCTGAGCAGCTCATGTTATGTGTTGGGGGGCACTGAGCTTCTAGGGAGGATTAGTGGCAGGAAATGCCACCTCTAGGTATCATTGGTTTTAGGTTGTAGCTGATAGTGTATACCAAAATGGACCACATGAAGAATTGTGCATATTTGTAGAAATTAAAAAACAAAACAAAAAGATTTTACCTAAAGCTCCCATACACATGAACAAAGGGATCTCGTAGTAGTAATAGGCCACACTCTGAAAAGAGGCAAAAGTCAGTGCTTTTACATTGACCACAAAAATTAATTAACCTCAAAAAGCACACTGTTTGTGTTTAATGTAAGTATCTTACATCACTTTCAAAGCGTCCAAAGTTAATGAGACCTGGATTGGAAAGGTCTCCTGGTTTTCCATGATAGATACTGAGGAAGAAGTTCAGTGTGAAGGTGGAGATCATGGAGGCAAAGAACTGCAGAGGAGGAGGGCAAGCATTTAGGAGATGTAGGAAATACTAAAACTTATCCACTTGTGTTTTAATCACTCTTTTAGACAACTTTTTAATTTTGTTGTTTAAGCGACAATGACAGTAAAGATATTCAGTTCAATTTATTAGACTTCTGGATGAAATGCTGTTGATTCAACATATTGTGCTCACTAATAGGGGTTAATGCTCATTTCATGACTTACTATCCTCCATGTGAGCATCTGGTTCCAGAAAGAAGCTCCCTCCTCTAGAGAGAACAAAACTCCGCCTGTCGACCACAGAAAGAGAGTTTAGAAACCAGAATAGCATTACATTTTTATATATTCATTTTGTTAGTTTTTTCCTTTAGACTGAAAAAGTGACTTGGAGAAGTGACAAAACACACTTGTGTGCAGACCAAAACAACCACACAGAGACCCTTCGGAGGAGGTAGTGTCTGTTTGTTTATGGTGTGAACATGATCCAAGCCAACTACCAGGTGTATGTTAAAGTTTGAGCTTAAAAATGTCCCGTTGCCCTTTGTGCTTTGTATTCTCAACACAAGAAGGTGCTATAGATGTGCAAACGTCTGTACGGGTTAACGGCTAGCTGTTAAGTAAACATAAATTACTGGTTTTCTCACACAGCACCTTCTTCTTGTATTTAACTTTTATTAACCCTATTATTATTTTATTAACACATCTGGCAAATGAGTGGACTGAACATTCTCATGTGGTTTCCAGTGACACATTTCGGTTCACTTGGATTTTTCTGTGTGAAAACAAACCAAACCACAGGGTTAATCTACAAATTTTTACTCAGCTGATTCAGAGTAAACAAACTACAGGTGTGATAACACCCTTAAACGAATCCAGAGTTAGCAAGCGTGATCACAGCAGCACTCTTCACACGATAACCTGATCAACATGCACAAGGCAGCTTTATAATCACAGCAGGCAGTTATCAACAGACTAATAAGAGTATGTCAGAGGGTTTCTGTAGATCCCAGTGCATCAAATTTAAGACTTCTAAAGATCTTATTATGCAAATCATTGTTTTTTGTTTGCTTTTAGTGTGGGCATATATAATCATACTGTTGTAGAGCTTAAAGCAGCTAAACTTCACACACAGCAAAAGCAGATTGTGTGTTTTTACCAACTGGTGCCCCAAAAGCAGCAGAAACTCCAGCAGCAGCTCCAGCAGAAACAAAGTCCCTCTTTTCTGTGTCTCTCCGGAAGTATTCAAACATCTACACAAACACACATATATTTCCTATTATTAACAACTCCTGTTGTCAAACACACACAAACTTAGTATATTATGATATATGGAGTTTATCACAATGTCAATCGATGTGACACACCAACTATATACTGTGACCCACAAGCATGTTAGTGTTCAGGATCTCAACACACGCTTACCTTGAAGTCCCGTTTTAAGGAGGTGCTTCTGCCCTGTGAGACTCCCGCAGCTACAACAGCACCAGAGTGAATCATGGGACCTTCCTGAGGATCGTGGGCAAACAAGAGGACAGCTTTAAAAGCTTTTTTAAAAATGTGTTTCAAATGTGTTCAGAACACAGTTTGAGTGTATGTTTACAAAAAGATGAAGGATTTTGATATAGTTTACCTTTCCAACAGCAAGACCGCCAGCTACTGAACATATAACGCCAATCACTTTCACCACCAGCGTCTACGAAGAACAACGGGACATAAAGATGTAAAGGTGGATCTAGTGTAGCCATTATTCTAAGTTACTGGTATTTTACGTGGCCGTACCTTGAGCCGTACCACCCTGGGAATCTTGACTCCATTTAGGTAACATTTTATCTGAGGAATACCACTTCCAGCTGCTATTGGCTACAAGAGAAAGAACAGGAAAAGATACATGTGAAGACTCGTGGTACACACAGTGCCTCATCACATGCTAGTAAACCGCACTGTCACAAAAACAGAAACACATTTAGCTTAAATTATCAGTATTTCAAAGAAGGACTCAGACATTGACAGACATGCTATTACTAACCAAAAATCTTCACTTCCACAACGATCTGAATTGTTTGTAGCTAAGGAATATGTAACAGAGCAACAAAAAAGGGGAAAAAAAGCAAAAGCTTTTATGTCACACTTCTCCAAAAACCCATTCTTGCACTTGAGGAATGTTATTATTAAACTACACAAATGGGGAAGAAGTGGTTCCAATTCAAAATTTAGGCTAATCAAAAAAGGTCAAGAATTTTTTTGCTTTCTGTCTTACCTCAAAAAACGCAACCATGACGCCCCCCACCAGGACGAAGGCACAGTTGAGAACGGCCCAGAGAATGAGAGAAATAGACAGCCCACCCACCTCTGTAAACTTTTCAATGTCTGTGAAGGCTCAGAGTCAAGGAAGTGTCCTTTTTTTCCTGAAATCACTTGAGTGATTTGGAGAAAAATTAAAGTTCCTTAAGCCTTGCATATTTACGTGGTACAAAAAAATAGGACTAAAAAGCTGTACACGTCTAAAGGATACTCTCTTTAATAACTTGATATTTGTACCCAGCCAGTTTCTCCACCATAATGTCTATAAAACAGGCGATGAGACCCGTTAGAATGCCAATCAGACCGCAGATTACCCAACGACTGATCTCCAGACAGCGGAAACCCTAAAAACACAAGATGAGAAGACAAGAAGTGATGCAGGATAAAGCAACAAGACTCGAGACAGAAAAGAAAATAATGAAGAAAATAATGGAGTTCATACAGAGCCCAGGCAAACTACCATTTCTGCAAAAGATTCCTGCACCACTCACCATGTGACTCATTCTTCTCTCCTCTTCAAGAAAGAGCTGGTTTTCAATGTTGTCATAATCCAGACTCTACAATGAAACAGACAGATGAATACATTTAATTTCATCAAATACATCTGCAAAAAAACAACAACAACAACCACACAAAAGCTCTTCCTGCTAGGTTCAATTGTATAATCTATTTAAAGAAACTGACATCCAAAAATCTGACCAATTTTTGCGTGCATTTTTTAGATGTATATACAAAATTTCAAAGACAATACAAAGCATATCTCCTCAAGTACTGACAGTTCCACTCTGCTTAAGAACATTACAAACAGTTGCATCTTTATAGCTGGCTCAGTCTTTAGTTTCTTCTTTTATTTGCTAGAACTTGGCGTTACCACTGTAAGATGGCCAAAAATGACATTTTCACTTGTTGTGAATACAGGCTTAAAAACATCAAAGTAACCAAGTGTAATCCAGCTTATTCAAGACTTATCAGAAACACAGGATTCTGATTGGTTAACAGCAGTTTTACCTCATATTTAAGTGACAGCAGCTTCTCGTTGTGTGGGATCTCTTTCGGTCGGCCCCTAATAGGGTCCTGCAGGGGGCGAGGGAAAAAAAAGCATTAACGCATCACCTCTGACCTCAGTTATGTGGTTGGAAACTATTTTACTGCCATTAAAATATTTTACATACAGCAGCAGGGAGTGGAACAATGAATCACAAGCATCAGATGCATTTTTTCTTACTCAGAAGAAAATTAGGGGACAGGTTTAACAATCAAAAGTTTTCTTAACAACTCAATCGCAGCCAGTTTCTCCAGAAAGTCTACATCATAGCTGTAACCACAAACCCCTCTGAAACACTACAGTGTAACCTACGCCATAACCACACATGTACTTCTCTAGAAATGAAGCTACAATAATAATTGTAGCATCAATCATAATCTTAGCATCAATACAAGGAATCACAGATGACAGTAAATTCCTGGTGGATGAATTCCTGAAACTATTTGAATGGATGTGAAGGAATGTACAAAGAAGTGTTAAAACTTAAGGGACAAATATGTTGTTGTTGTTTTTAAATGACCACAGTAAAAAAGAAATTTAAAATTGGGACACAACCACAAGGTAATTTATACACATATTGTGAACTAGCACAAGCATCAATGCCAGCAATGGTGGAGGCCACTTCTGTAGGTTCTGTAGGCTCTGGACCTCTTTAAGTTTCCTGAAGACATTTCTATTGATCACATGATAGCTGGGAGTCTCCATCATTACTTAAAAGTCGAGTCGCTTTTTTTTCCAAGCTGGATTAGGGCTGGGCCATATCATACCGTTCACGGTAATACCGGTGTAATGTTGGGCAATGATAGGAAAATGAAATATCGCGATAGAATATGGGTAAAACACGCAATGGCAGTGCCTTTGTTTTCATAAGCACATGGTGGAAAAAGTGTGGCGGTGACAGAGAATGAGAAGGGCGAAAGCGGATTGTTGAATGAAACGGATGAACCAGAATTGGTTTATAAAAATGCTGCAACTTCAGTGGTGATGAACTGGTTTAGCTTTCGTCCGTCAGATACACAACAAAGCACTATTTTTGGTAGAGCGTGCTAGCGGACCTTTGTTATTACCGTGTTTTTTGAAAAAGACGGCACACTTAAAATCAATCCTTTGATTTTTCTGAAAATCGACAGTGCCCCTTATAATCCCGTGTGCCTTATGTATGAATTCTGGTTGTGTTTACTGACCTCGAAACAATTTTATGTACACGGCGCTCAAAAATCTGTCAAATGTTTTAGTACGACTTTGCTAAGCTACGAACCCGCACCGCTTGATGGATTGTCGGAGCATTACAGCTATCGTAGGCAGGAGCCTCGCGGAGTGATACGTACTGTGCTTCAGCATAGTATTACAGTATTGTGTGTGTATAACCTCTTTTTAAGTTTTGTGGATATTATACACGGTTATGCTGAGGATATGTCGGCCAATTTCCACTGGAAATACCTTTTGGTTAAACTTTCAGCAAGGAATTTGCATTTGCACTGTTACATTTTTATATAACTTTAATGCACATAAAAAACAGCTGCTCGTTTAATTGAAAATACCTTGATTTTTTTTTTTGCATGAATAAAGTTGTGGAGTTGTAAAGTATCTTGTCTAGTGTCAATTATATCGTCAGTTATATCGTTATCGCAAATTTTCAAATCTATATCGAGATAAATAGTTTTGGTCATATCGCCATGCTCTAACCTGGATGACTGAGAACCTACACAGATGTTTTTTTTTGGATATTCAGTGACCTCCACTGTCACTACCTTCCCTATTCCAGCCCACTTGTTAGCTAATCAAACTCAGCAAACGCATACATCATCCGCTTCCCGCAGCGAGATGACAGGATCTTGTGAGGCTACACAAGAGCTCATCTGCGATGTGTGAAAACCCCTCTCCCTGTCCAAATATAAACACGTAGGCAGACGGACACATTTGCAGCACCATAAATTACGCTTTATCTTGCCATCCATCTGTGCAGCATGCAACTAAGTAAAGAAATTATTTTCACAGAGCCACAAACAAGCTGGAAATAACATTTTGTTTATCATACTCAAGCAAATCACAAGCCTGAAATCATATTCCAGCCAGTCAGCCAATGAAAACATAACTGAATCAGATGGTTTGTGTGAAGAAGCAGAACAGATGGGACATCCTGTCGTGCTAACGGAGCCTCAAGTATCAGTATGTGGTCCTCTGTGTCAGAGTGTATGTTTGAGGATTTCTTGTCCTGGTTTAAGTATCCTAAGCCTGGAAAGAAGTAGTTAAGTAAAATGTAATGAATGAATGTAATGAACATATATTCAAATGCATGGACTTGATCAATTTGCCATTTGCAGTGCCTCACAGTGGAAACCAGCAGACAGTTTCCAATCACGTGCCCCTAGTGAGTCAAGCATCACTGGACTATTCTGGCTGGTGAGCGACTAATTTCTGTGTAAGTTTTCCCAAATCATTCAGAGGGAAGCAGCTCAGTCTCAACCTTCAACTTTATCTCAGTCAAGGCATTGGCACAGTAAACAAATATGAGCATGTGGCTGAATCGCATTAGTCACAACTGCAGTGATTTGCTGGGGAATGCTGGGAAAGATTATCGTGGTCTAAGCGGCTAAAACAAGAACTGCTAATAAAGGGAAATAGAAGAGAAAAAGACAAAGAGAGAGCAGAGATGTTGGGAGCTCAAACTTTACCTCTTCTGATGTTATATCATCTTCCAAATCCACCGTGCTGAATCTGCCTATCCGAAATACACTGCCTGATCCGGACAGCTAAAGACATCACAGACAGCAACATAAATATATGAGTATGGCCATGTGTAGCACTTTTCAGGGTGATATGTTACATTGTTAACTGCTGGTATCCATTTAAGAAACTAACACAAGGGTCTTCTCCCCTCTACTTGGAGACTAAAGTCTATTTTTGGACATCTTTTGATGTTGGACTCATATGAAATTATACATGTCGGGTAAGATTTTTAAGAGTAAGAAGCTCTATATTGCTCCCTTTATTGAAGAAATATTCGACTTCAAAACAAACAAAAAATCTACAACAGAAAATGCACACAAAAAGCATGTTCTTTTCCATACCTTTACATTTTCTGATGCAAATGAGAAAACATCCGTTTTTGGATGCGCATATTTGGAAGGGGATTAACGTGAGACTCTACTTTCATGTTGGCTAATGCCACACAGGCAGAAACGGTAACAGTAAAAAAGGAAGTTGGATTTTCCAGAATATTTCAATATTACTCTGACAGGCAGACGTCTGCAGGTCTTGTAACTGGATCGTGCTGGGATAATCACACTTCCCAAAGCAGTCACATTACAGTTTACCTGTAGCCCAGGTAATCCAATTTGTCCCAGGGTGTTTTCCAGCGTCAAACAGGTTAGGAAATAATGGAAGTAACAGCGAATGACTAGCAATAATCTGATTATTTTCCAGGAGGACTGAAACAAATTATGAGCATCATGTACTTAATTTGAATAGGCCAAATTCTATTACTTTCGCCCTCTAAACCCAGTCACAAACAAAACTTGTGGTTGCATTTACCATCCAGAATTGCAAACCAAAACACACTCTGCATGTTTGGTGGTTTTCTCTTGTTTTGATGTGTACTCGCCGTCTTCGTGAATTCTTGCACACTTCCATCCTCAATTCATTTGACTTTATGCTCAAATGCACTCTGGGTCAAGTCATGTTGCTGCTATATGAGTAACAGTCACCAGACATCAACAACACCTCAGTAAAAACTGCGTGCGCGGCCGTGCATTAAAATGATTAAAAGCATTCATAGCCCATGCAGTATTTATAAACATGAGTCAACATAAGCCTAGGATAGCTAATAAAACACGACACAGCATCTTCTTTGGGAAGCAGCGGAGGTAATAGCTGTTAAGGTAAATTAGCCACCATGCTAACCTGTCTGGAAGGTTTCGGTATCTCAGTGCCGTTGAGTAACGGTGTCCCCTCCCCGGTCAAAGCGGAGTCATCGCCCCGGCTGGACCACGACACTTTCTTGGTGATGTTAGCCATGGTGGCTCCCCGCTAATTCGCCGAGCTGTCAATAGTTCGCTTCATTAACTTCAGCCGTCGTTGCCTAACAACTATTATTCTCTCTCAACTCCCCATGATCATTTCTGCAACTCGTGACGCTTTGTAAGGTTCGCGTGCAGGGTCAAAAACAATCCTGGGGCGCGTTGGCTGCTGGGATTTGACGTTTTTCAGTATTTCAGACTCCAGAAAGTCATGGCAAAAAATTATATTATATTATATTATATTATATTATATTATATTATATTATATTATATTATAAACAATAATTAGGTGACTAAAGACTGTATATGCAAGTAAACTGTATTATTTTCATCTGAACTCTAACGCAGCCAGACTTTACCATTTCAGAGGAAATGGGAGTGCCTTTAACTTGTTGCAGCTCCAAAGTTTGTTCCCTTCATTTTAAATATATATAATAATAATACTTGTTAGTTAACATGTCTACAAAGAACGTAGAGGTTATGCCTGTTATTAACACCTGTGCAGTGGTAAAGGGGTAAGATGCAAAAAATTGTTCTGAATCAAGAACCAGTTTGAGATTTTTAAATCCTGCATACCTCCAAGCATATCAGTTCCTTTTTATCAATTTTTTCTGCACTACAATTATTTCAAACTTACATGTAATGTAAATAGTTTTGATGAACCTGAAAAACTGTCACTCAAATTTTTTCCACATGGAAAACAAAGGAAAATAAATAAGAAGATTTTAAAAATACATAAAGCTAAAAAGTAATTAATAAGGAATAGGGGCATAAAAGAATTGCTAATGAAACGGGTATCAGTTTGTGAAATACCATAAGCTTTATTGTTTCATTTGATTTAGCTATAAAAATGTGACTTGCACTTGCAGAGGGAAAGCACTGGATTCATGGAGAGTCATGGAGAGCGGAGAGTTTTTCTTCATAAGAACATTATTGATATTCACATAAGCTGCTAAAGTTCAGTTTGCTTGATACATTGGCTATTAGAAAAACAGGCAAGAAACAAGGTAAATAGTAATAAATAATAATTATATGTGTAGCATGTATCATACTGTGTACAGATTTTAATTTTAGAGTAACACAGCAAAGGCAGGAGGCGTGAGTAGGCATATAAACTGAGCTAATTTCTTAGTTACAGTCTCTTAGTTAGTTTGCGACACTCGCTATTACAACGCTAGTTTTGAAAGTAGTTTTAACATTATAATTATATTATAGTTTGTTTCAGTAAGAATACTTTGAAATCTTTATCAAAGCATCCTTTATATTTGTGTAGCTATGATTATTAGAGTGGATTCTGGCATTCTCCAGCTGTCCTGGTCTCAGGCTTGACCCTGCTACAGAGTCCACGAATAATAATACTTCTATAAGTGCTGTAGTTAAAGTAGAAACTGATAGCACGGTAGTGTTTACATTCACAAACATAACCTTTGCACAAAAAAAGAAAAGGAATTGCTTAAATGATCACTGCTTTTTTCCTTGATTAGATCATCAGCCACAGTACTCTAAACAATCACAGGCCACATGATGCACCGCCCCATGCACCTCCTTTATATCCTCCATGCCAAGCACCACTCCTCTGGGCACACCTCTTCCTGCCACTACTCCTTCTACCTCTGATGGGCTAAGCACCCGGTTCCATAACCTGAACCCAGCCATTTGCCCAGCAAAACCCTCTGCAGGATCAAACCCTCCACCAACAGAGTCCTGCTCCTGTCCCAGCACCACAGATCCACCTCCGGGAACCTCCCAGCCCTTCCTGAAGTCAGAGCCTGAGGAGGCGAGGAGGTGGTCATTGTAGTGCCAGAATCGACCGTGGATAGAGGACCAAAGGACACAGACATGATGCCAGTGAGCGTCCAGAAGCGGTGACACCTGGAGACGATGATACACGGGGTCTCTAATGACAAAGTCCAGAGAGGGTGAGGAAGAAGGTGAGGATGGAGAAGAAACAGAAAAGGGTGTAGACGAAGACGAGGACCTATGTCCGTAAAGAACTAACTGATTGTCACTGTCATCGGTGGCATAGGAGAGCAGCGTGCCAATATGTGGTGTCTCCACACGAAGCCACAGGCACAGAGAGAGTTCAAGAAGAGCTGGTAGACTCAGGGAGAAGGTGACATAGTTTTCTGCTGAGGCCGAGGGGAACAACACCATGGAGTCCACGTTACAAACTGCAGACAGAGAAAGAAGATGCATTCGAATTCATCTAAACATGGTGCCAACACATACACATGAACAAACTGAACAGTGCATGGAAAAGCTAAAATGTTGTATGAATGCAACATCAAACTGAGCTAAACAGCAAAAACAGTTGCATGAGAGGCAGTACATGAAAGATAAAAGAGGGTTTACGCAAATCTATAAACAGTAAATGTGATGCTTTTCACTCGATGATAACATGATACAATTTTGAAATGTTTCTTTCTTTGACTTTTTCAGTATCTGAGTAGATACTTTACTTACTGGTTGCATCCCTCTTAGGAATTGGCTGTGCTGGGATCTTGTGCTTGAGAGGAATTTGCAGAAAGTTATGAATCATCGTGTGCCTTTTGTCCTCCTCTCCTTCATCCCATCCACTAACACTTGGCTTATAAGGCCGTAGAACCTCCGGACTGGTCCTGTTCTGTATGTCTTCTGGTGTATAATGGTTTGGAACATGGGGCAGCATCCTAGAATGCTGTTCGGGGTCTTGTAAATGTGGGGTTTCCTCAGGATGTGAATGGGAATGGGATGGTTGCTGTACTTGGGGATCAGTCTGGCCCTGCAATTGAGACAGAGCCTGGTGGGTGGTGTTGATGCTGGGGAGAGTTAGCTGATGCTGATGCTGGGAAGGATAGGGCTGTGTCTGTGCCCAAGTTTGGATCTGGGCCTGGGGCTGGGAAGGGTCTGGATGTGTTTTAGGATTTTCCTTTTGGACTTGTATTTGTAGATAAGACTCTGGCATCTGAGCTTTTGAATGTTTAGGCTGCCTTGCTGCATGGAGTTGGTCTGGCTTAGTTTCATGATCAGTGTCCGTCTGGATTTGGCTGCTTTCTTGCACTCTGGGTTGGATATGTCCTTCCAGAATCCTTCTACGCTTTCCTCCTCTATTTGTCTGACCTCTTCTGCATGGTTCATTGTATTCCTGAGGTGTGATGTTGGAGCTAACAGGCTCTCCCATCTTCTGCCTTCCATTCCCGTCTAGGACTTCACTGAGCCGGCCCTCGAGTTGGGCCAAACGTGTTGCCTGGTTTTTCAGGGATTCCAGCAACCCTTTTAGTCCAATCAGCAACTCATCACGCTGGATTTGAAGAGCAGCCAGTCTCTCCTCTTGACTTCGGAGCTCTAGAGTGAGGTCGAAGAAGTCCTGATCAGGATCGGCTGTCATTTTTTCAGTCTGGTGGCAGTTCTCCCTTAACTTTCTTTCCATTGAAGTCAGGCGACCCATCAGCCGCTTATTCTTCTTCTCAAGCTTCCTGTTTGTCTCCCTGTGGTGACAGTGTGAGAAAATATTTGATTAGGTATTCTTGTGTTCTTGCTTCTCAAATCCAGCTTTTAGCATCAGACTAAGGATGAACTGCTACATTTTATCATGTATGGCATGTAAATAGCTGAATGACCTGAGAAATTACAGTTCAAAACTAATATTACTTCTCAGTGCAGCCCTTCCAGTCTCCGAGAACAGAACATTTACCCCTGGTTGCTCTGACCTGAGATCCTCTATCTCCTGTGTTGTGCTTTGCTTTAGGTGTTCCAGGTCCTGTGATACATGGTGGTAATGGTCGTTCAGGCCTTGAACACGCCGCTTTAGCGCCTGCAAGGAACTCCTGTTCTGGTTCAGGGCCAGCATGTTCAAACGGGCTCGAGTCAAAGCCTGGAACTGTTGGAACTATCAGGGAAAAAAACGTTTTCATGAGTCTTCCTGCAGATGTTTGCTCTCTGACCTCAAGGTCAGGAAAATACTGAAAATCTCCAGTAAATACTGAAAAACACGTGTCACATGGTCGTGACAACTGATCATCGGGTGCTGCAAGAGATTTTCCATGATTTCAGTGCTTTTACAGCATGACTAATAACATGTATGACAGCAGAAGAGAAACAGTATTGCGAAACAGATATTCAACTTTAATCTGATAGTGTCACATAAAAAGTAAACAAACTAATAAAAAGCAAATGTTTGTGTTTCTTTTTTAACCCTCTCGTGCATTTATTCAACAACATTCACCCCCAACTACTCGCAGCAGATTGCTGCTCGGTCCTGAGCCTGGTTCTGTTTCTTTCTTAAAGGTGAGTTTTTCCTTCCCGCTGTTGCCAAGTTCTTGCACATAAGTGGTCATCTGAGTTATTTTAGGGTCTTTACCTTGCACTATACAGTAAAGCACCTTGAGGTGACTGGTGCTGTGATGCTGAGTCATTCCTGTACAAAAATGTCAAATTCCGCGATGATGCTTTTTGATGCTGCAATGAAAGAAATGCCAAAACTAACATGGAAGAACATTTCACAAGTGAGGTGTTATTTTGATTTTGATTTATTTTTGGTCATATGGCTATAGTCCTATATTTCAAACCAAACTTTTTTGGATCAGCTGAAAATTATGGTGATTTTCAGATTGTGTGGAGACCTCCCTATGGGCCCAGCTCCTTTACCTTCAGAACAGCCCTGATTCTTTGAAAACAAGAACATTTGTGGCCATATTGAAATGGTAGTACCACAGCTTTTGTGACTAGTGAACAGGGATGGATTTGAGTTAGCATAGGATATAACTAGCACAAAAAAAGTCATTTAAAATAAGCCGCATGCATGCAAAGGCAAGTAAAAATGTGAGTTTATGATACTGCAATAACTACTATTGTATATTATTTGCAATATAGGTAATAAGGGACTGACCTGCTCATTAAGTCGTTGGAGTTTCTGGGAAACTGGATCAAATCCCTGCACCTTTACAGTCTGAAGCTGCAGCAGAAGCGTGTAAACCAGGACCTGCATCCAGATGCCCACCACGAAGCTGCGCATGGTGCTGGGCAGTGGAGCAAGGATAGATGCAAGCTGTCGGTCTTTGTCTGGGAATGTGTAGTTGAAGGAGAAGAGAACGACATAGCTGAAAAGGGTTGGTCTTGAAACACACTATAAAACAACACTTTCCACAAAATCACTGG